AACTAGATGGGAAGGACAAAATAATCAGTGTTTTGAAGGACAGGACTATGTTTATGCAGGTTCCTGGTTGTGGGGTTTTGAAGGTTTTTTAAATTTTTTTTAAAAACAAAATAAATTAGGCAGAAAATCTTCATATAAATGAGTATTTATAAAAGAGCCTTTCTAGGTAAATCATTTCTTTTACGATTAATAAAATCTGCAATCAGAGCAACAACATTCTGATGACTTTTTGCCATTTGCAATTATCGCTCATCCCAGCACCAAAAAGCTCATTATTATTAAAGCTGACAGAAAGAATACTTAACTGCTTTTATAAAAGAACTTACTTTTTAAAAGAATCAAGTTTCTAAGCTTTCTTTCTCCTTCCAAATCTTCTGTGTGAAAAAAAGGCTATCCTAACAACCCCTGTGTATGTCACCTTTGATTTCCAACACGTAATTTGGATAAAAGCATCCAATTTGTACAGTAACACAATGCATTATAGAATAACACTTCTTAGGTTTAAAAGCAGCCTACAAAAAGTATACAGCTAACATAAATCTGTGCAAGTACAAACATATAGTTTATACCACAAAAATACGTATTTTAACCTTTTTACAGCAGTTTTCTCCTAAGTAACTAAGAGCATTTAGGTTACTGTAGGACTTGTAGAATTCCTGTGAAAAAGAGTGCATAATCTCTATTTTAAAGGCATGAAGTTGAGGCACAGGTATTACTAAGACAGGTGTGGAAGAGACAGGAATGGGAAGCATATCCAACTCCAAGCTTTATGACTAAATCGATGTCTATTTGACATGTACTATCTACAGGCAGAAACAAACACAGGTATTTTTGTTTTGGCATCTACAGAGATGTGAAGACTGAGTGTTGTCTGTGCCTCACTCCATCCTTGCTCCCTGACATAACAGCACAGTAAAATCGAGAGTCCTCTTTAAAAAAAACCCAAAACACCCAAAAGCAAACAAACAAACAAAAACCCCATAAAGCAAGCCCCCCACCACAAACAAACAAAAAAGTTAGACAAAATTAAAAAAAAAAAAAACAAAACCAAAAAAAACCCAAACCCTAATACAGATGCTGTTAAATGGATGCAAACTCACAAAATGCTGCCTGATTCACAAGTGCTTGGGAAGCACTGATTTGAGCTTTTTATAACCATACATCTCCAGTTTGTCATGGTTAAAGATGTGGAGCATGTGGTGAGCCAGAATCTTCCTGGGGTGTGCAGTAAGAGAGGCAACAGGTGCAAGCTGCACCAAGGGAAAATCTAGTAAGGGATAAGGAAGAATTCAGAGCAGGTGCTTAAGCAGCAGAACGGCTTTGTGGGGAGGCTGCAGAGCTCTCATCCTCAGGGGTATTAAAGGACTTGCTTGGACATGGACACAGCCCTGAACAACCTGCCCTGCCTCTGCAGTTTGCCTGATTTGAGCAGGAGCTTGGACAAGACAATCCCTACAAAGTGAACTGCTCTTTGAATACCATCCCAAAGACAAGCGAAGTTGCTATTGGGTTTCTCTGCTGCATCCCAAAGCTTATCACAAATTCACCCACGAAATATGACCCTGTATTTCTGTGACTAACTTTTTTTTACTTTATTTGGCTTGCTCCTTCTTCTGAAAGGGATAAAATGGAACAAATCCAAATCTTTGCTTTCACCCACTTGGAAACTGCGAAAAATGAAAAGCAAAACACAATCACTGCGCTCAAGTTCCTAAACACATGTGGTCATTAGAGTTTACACACCTTCCTGACCTCTTCTCCTAAGAAATACTCCAGAAAACAATCAGTCTGCTGTGCAGGGAGACCCAAACTTATTAAAATAACTTCATCACCAAAACAGCTCTCAACATCATTTCAAATTCCTCCCTACCACCCGCACTATTGTAAGAGGTGCTGCATATGGTGAAAATTAATTCAGTTTGAACCAGAAAACACTGGGGTTAAGTACTTCTTCAGCTGGAATACAAAAACTGCAACCACACGTGACTATCAGGATATATAGGGCTACAGTCAACATGCAGAAATACTATTTATATCCTTCAGAGAAATTGAGTTAGAAGGTTTTTTAAGGGGAACAGCTGAACTAGGAATATCCAAAAACGGGTGAGACAAACAAGTGTGCAACTCCTACATGCAGCTCACTACCAGAAGGAGACAGTGGGAGTCCATCCTGAAAATCAGAACCTTTTCAAACAATTTCTCTCATATAACAGAAGCCTCCAAGAGAAGCTGGACACACCTGGCTTCTCATTTCCAAATTACTAGTTTTTAAATTCTTTTGTTACATATATAACCAGACCACTGTGGCAGAAACACTCATGGGCATCACACAGCTCAACAGAATCACTTTGCAGTAACTGGATATTCAGCCTACGATTATCACAGACATTTCATACTGATGTGACTAGGCAATGTGGCAACTTATCACAAGCCAGATTTACTAGACATTCCCCACCAGAGAAAGTGAATAAAACTGTCACTCATCACCATATGAGCTGCACTAGTGTAACTACTTCTTCATGAGTTGGACAACACTTTTCTGAATTAAAACCAGCACACTTTCTTGCAAGTCTTTATCCTCCTTTCTGTACATTTTCCTTTCCTTTCCACTTCTCTTATTTTCTGCCCAATTGTTTTTTTCCCTGACTTAGTATGTTTAATCCACTTGCACTCCAGTGCATTATTTTGTTATCCTTGGCAGATATAAATAGAGGGATCTGTACAGGAGCTCCAGCCACCCTGGCCAGACTAGTAATGAAGAACTCAGTACAAGACTACTGATGTCCTCTTGGTCCTTCCCCTAAGGAATCATGCAGCAAAGCTTCCAGGACCACAGGACTACATCTTCTTTCCCCAAGAATCATCTGATCATCATGTCAAGCTAAGGCTGAGACTGTATTTCTGAGTGTTCCTTCTCTGGAATACCTCCCCAATACAGGGTCTATTAAAATACAGGAAAAGCAGATGCATTACTCCTCATGAGGGCCACCAAAAAAAAAAGAAAAAGAGTCAAACATTTGATTTAACCACCACTACAATTACAGTTGTTGGCATCTGCAATTTGTAGCATCACACACACACATGCAGGGACAAACATAAAGTAAGTCTTGTTCATAACTCAAACTTGATTTCCAGCAAGTTTCATATATATATTATTATATACACTATTTATGGCTGTGTATTGGCAGTACAGAAAAAAGGATTAAATACACTCTCTCATGCACATTTGCACACACCCAAGCATACACACTATTTCCTGATCTATTGTGAATATACCAATGACAGGAATTGAAAAATAACTTTAAATTATCAAAGCTACATGGAAAGCTTTAAGCTAGCTGCTCATGGAAATAAACTTATTTCCAAGAGTGTTTCACTATTTCTGAAGTGTAGCTCATGCACATTTATGGGAAGAGGTTGCCAGAAACATTGTGCTGAAGGTGCACTGGGGATACTGAAGTGTTCAATAAGGAATCCTGTGAAGAAAGAGCAAATGCTGGAAGTAAGGAATGTATGACAGTGTATGAGAAAGATTAAACAAACTGAAAATATGAAAAATATTATGGGACTTAGTGGTCTTGACACACAGCAGGTATAATCTGAGTCTGCAACATGCCATTGAAACAAACACAGTGTGTCCATTCTGAGCAGTGCTGGTGAGAGCACAGCCAGCAGGCCCAGGGAAGCAATTCTCCTCTTTCCTCCAGGATTTATGAGCCCTCCGGAACAAGAAGGCTTTGACATACTGGAGAAAGTCCAGTGGAGGACAGTGGTGTCTAGAAAAAAGGTCTCCCCCAGATCTCACTGTGTTTTCCAATTCCCCAAAGGGAAGGGATAATTCCCCAAAGGGAAGGGAAGGGATACAGAGAGAACAGAGTGAGCCTATTCTTGTGACAAGAACAAGGAAGCTGCAACAACGAAAATTCAGGTTATAAATGAAGAAAATATCCTTCATGAGGTGGTGACACATGGTAACAGGGATCTACAAAATTTTGGAGTTTGCATCCTTGGAGATATTCAAAACCCAACCCTATATGGTCCCCAGCAACCTGCTTTAAAAGTGATGTTGCTGTGAGCAGGAAGCTGGACTAGACAACTGTACAGGTGTTATCCAGCCTGAATTATCCCAAAAAATTATGTATCTGGATGAAAGAAGCCAGAAAGCTGGTCAAAGGAAGACAGGAGGACAAGAAACAGCATAAGGCACAGGATTAGCTCCATAATGAAAAAAACAGAGAAGTGCAAAAAGAAGCTAGAAAAGGGAATAAGCAAGAAAAACAGCAGGCGGGATCAAGATTGAGGAAGAAGCAAAAAAAAAAAAGAAAGAAAAGTCAAATGTCTGTTCACAAAGTTGAACTTTCCTCCCATAGGCAGGAGGGGTGAAAAATTCCACAAGAGTCATTCAACAATGAAGTCAAGTATTTAAGTTTCTACTGTAATGTGCATAGTAGATTTGAGTAAGAGAAGGAATCAGTTCTTTCTTTTCCCTTTCCATGCCCCCAAGAAACCAACTAACCTTTTATCTCGCTTTTCCAAATATTTGAACTCAATCTTGCAAACTTCAGAGATATTTTAACCATGTACATTATGAAGAATTTTTCATTTGTAATATAAAAATACATGCACTTTTATCGCTTAAATCTCAAAGTTCACTATGCCCAAATAAGCTTCTTACAGCTTTTTACAGTTTTATAAGATATGGCCCCATGAGTCTAGGCCTATATAAAACAAAAAACTTTGCTCCCTCTTGGAGCTACACCACCAAATTAAAATAGTCCTGATCAGGCTTACAGCATTAGCATTTACCATATTACAATATCTTTCTATTATAACACAGATGCTCAGCTGCACTTGCTGCAACTGGGACTTGCTGCAGCCACTAAAAGAGAAAGCAATGCCCAAATTGTGTTTGTGTAAGCCAGGAAGACACCATGAAAAAAAAACCACAAAAAAAAAAAAAAAAAAAAAAAAAAAAAAAAAAGAGACATCTACACACTTACCCTACGATATCCACAATCTGTATCAAAATCAGCCTCAGGTGTAACAGTCAGTAAACAGGACAGCAAACCCTTGCATTTAGTAGAAGATTTCTGGGAAGCCAGATTACCTAGAAAGAGTTGAAAAGAGTTACTTTAACACACAAAGACAAAATCACCTATGTGTAATGAGAATAGGCTTCAAATAAATCACAGAGCTGGAATTAAAAAAAAAATAGAAAAAAAAGAAGAAAAAAGCTGCTCAATGGGAGACCACCATGATCAGAATAGAGAACTTAAACCCCAGAAGGCGACAGAAATTTGTTACAAAGCACAGAGTTACATGCTGGTAGGCACTCAGGGTTTAGCAAAGAACATCTAATACCCAAGGTAACATGGTGTTAACCCTCTAATCAAGGATGTGGAGGAGACCAGAAAGAGCACGATATTTTGCTTAATTAGTTGCTATCAAAGAGAGGATGAGTTCAAGCACTTGCAAAAACAAGGCAATCCAAGACTATTTAAAAGTTTAATACTGTTCTAGAGTCTTTGGTAACACAGAGCTTGCCCATGAAATCAAAATAATCCCTGGAGATAAATTTAAAGGAATATATCTCATTTTAATGCACAGAGTAAAATATCTATTCATTACAGCAAAGCAGTTTTATCCCTACAGTCTCCATTTCAGATGCAATACATATTGAAGTAATCTTTATGACAGGAAGTGGCATGTAATCCTGCAAGAATGAACTGCTGTCGTTATCTGCAAATCAATACAATTTTTTTTGAAGTGGATATAACTGTGCCTATTGATTTCACGTTTTTAGCCCTAGAGTTTCAGTTTCTACCAAGAAGATTCTTACAAATACAAGATTGCTGCATACATGTAACTGAGTTGATAAAATCTGAATCTGAAGTTTACAGTGCACTTCCCTCTGCAATGCAATTGGGGCTTCTGTCCCATTGCCTCAGCTTAAGTCTTTTCTCATTTTATATAAACTTTACTTTTGTGTATTATTTATAATAATTTTGAAGTGGTAGAGTAACACTCCACTAATCCAACCTGCTAGCTACAGAAAGTTTAGCACGCAAAACATCCCCTTGGAAGTTATCTCCCTTCCCTGCTAGGGTATTATTTCAGAATATATGTATGACTTTTGCTATGTTTAAATAGCCTGACCAAGTAATTTCCCTTGTGAAAACCTGAAACTCATGCAGTGCTGAATATTTACAGCCCAAAGAAGTGTGGTGAAGGTGAGGATGGTAAGGGTATGAGCACACAGAAAAACTGAATGACTTATCCAAGGTCACTCTGTGGATCAGTCAGGCAATGAGCTCCATTAAGAGTTTAATAAAACTGCTAAATTCCTACTACATTTTTGCAAATGAAGCATACAGCAACTTTGGCTTGACTAGCTGACCAAATGGCTCATGCTGCAATGAATGATCTGTAATGAGAGCTGGCTGAAAGGCACAACGCACTATCAGCCTGAGAAACGAGGTAAAAAAGATCAAACTACTAAAAAAAAAGCTTAAAAGCATGAGATTAGAGCCAGATGAATGACATCCCAAATCAGGTTAAGAAAGCTGAAGTGCTGATAGAACTAAATCTGGCCAAAGACATCAAGGGCAAAACCAAATGCTTCTATAAGTGCTTTTGTGCCTACAGGGAAGACTTGTGAAAATGTTCAGCCTCTCCAGAAGGAAATGGGAAACCTAGTTACTTGGGATATAGAGGACGTTAAGGTACTCAATAACTTTCTTGCCTCAGTCTGAGTCACAGGTGATCCACCCACACTGCCTGAACTGCAGGCAGGGACGTGGGAAATGAAGAACCACCCACTATGAGAGAATATCAGAGCCAAGACCATCTACAGACCTGAAGGTGTTCAAGGCCATCTTTGAATTGGAAGGAACTTTAAAGATCATATAGCTCCAGGCAGAAAAAAACTCTCTTCTGTCTAACCACTGTCCAGCTGCAGATTAATTTATTGAAAACATAAGATGATGGAAGAGGAAGCACATGAAAGGCTGGGGAAAGTGTGGAAATGTGAACATCCTGCCCACATTATCCGTCATCACTATAGTTCAGTCCATCAAACAGGGCTCCATGCTCTTCCTAGACCTTTCTTCTTCACAGGTCTAGACTCATTTTGGAGCTGAGACTTTTCTAATAGCTGGTCTACTTATTTATTTAACACTTCTTGTATATGTTGTTGTGACTTTTTAATTTACTTTTAATTGAGCATTACTGACTTTCACAAGATAACCAAGGAATATACCATGGACTGCCTAAAAATGCTGAAACAAAAAGGGAATATTTTCTTTGTTTTGCTTTTAGTTTGCTGAAGAAAACCCAGTGTTTTCATGAGGCAGTTTATGGAAAGAAAAAAGTGGAAATTACTCAAGGGAGCAATTTCTGTTTTGCATAGTGACTCATCATATCATAGTTACCCCATCATCTCCAAGGGCAACACTAGGCCAGAGCTACTCTGAAAGATCTCCTTAGGGAATCTTCACTTCTCAAAGCCATCTCAGGACTCTTGTTCCAGAACTTCACAGAATAGGGAAAAAACAATTGAGACTAATAAAAATAAAATGAGTTTCAGATAGGAAAGAAGCCTGAGTAGCCAATGATAGTTTTACATAAAGGAAATCTTTTTCTCTCTCACCTCAATAATGAAAGACATGAAGAATATTTACAAAGCACATGGCAGGCTCTAGACAGCAGTGTGGTATAGAAAGGCAAAACAGAACTCACAGCTGGATACGGGACATCTGAAGAAAGAAGAATCAGAAGGAAACGAAGGAACAAGAAAAGCAATCACTTGTCACCATGAAAATGGTACATAAAGATGGGCCAAAGGTCAAAATCTGTTTGCTTACTCTTGGATACACAGTTCCAGAGAAGTGTAAAAAACCACTTGGGGAGATACAAAGACAGACTTAATGGTCTTTAACATACTGCAACTTACATGATTTACTAGCATTTGGGCGAGTTTTCTTTCCCCTGCTGTAGAAAATCTTGTCTGCTTACAGGAAAGGATGTTAAGCTTACCAAAACTTTACTGCAGTTACCATTGTGGGGGAGCAACACCTGCCAGGCAGTTCTGAACCACTAAAATAAAATATTGAAACTGGAAAAGGCAGAAACACAGCAAGGAGCTTCGACATCAAACCCAGGTTGTCTCTCATCATAGTGTATCACCCTGCACAGAGGTAAAACCTGCATTCCCTGTATTCTCATGTAGTTGAAGGTGCCTTACAGGCAGCCTTATCTCTCCTTTGGGAGTCTAACTACTGCAAAATAGACAGGTTAAGGATTCTGTCCTGTGCCCATGCTTCTAAATTAAGTGACTTGAAGCAACTGGATCTAAAGGTATGTATTTAGATACTGCATCTCCTCCTTTCTGAAGGAGAGAGCTCTTTCTTCAGGTTAAATCAGCTGCAGGCTACAGTATGAAAAGTTGGTGTCAGCTCACCTCTCATCTACACGAGTATCTTCATGAAGGGATGGAATAATCAGAAGTGCCTTTGGCATGAAAGACCTGGTGAGCGAGAAGCAGGTCTGCATCTTTTAGAGAGAGGAGCTTTATTGGACTCCCCTCTACTGTTCTGGGTTGGCCAGAGAAGAGTTCAGCTGCACCAGCAAACAATGAGATATGGTAACAGCACAAGCAACAAGCAGAAAGCTCAGCTTTTAGTAAATTAGAAAAGAAGCTTCCAAAAGGCAAGAGGGGAAGAGACAGTGATTTCATACAACGTCAAGCCAAAACCACATTTTTCTTATGCAGCAATGCACTATTTCAGAGCTTCTCTGTCAGAGACAAAGTATCCAAAAGCCATACAGCAGATCTGAAGAAAGGCAAGGAGCAGGCAGCGACATTTGGCAACTCAGTACAGGGAGGGACTCCTTGTTCCAGAGCCTCCCTGAATAAGAGATCACTTTCCCTGAATAAGAGATCACTTAACACAGAGCTGCAAAACATGGACCTCAGTGAGGATGCAATGCTCCATGCAGTGCCTTCCCACATCTCACCTGTGGTTGAAAAAAGCTATTTGGACAAGAAGGATGAAGCCAAGGATGTGGACATAGTTATTGTAGGTTAATTACCCAGAAAAAGTTTAATACAAAAATATTCTATGAAAGCCTGCCTGTGCAGACAAGCTATAAATCAACTCTGAAGCACTAAGTGCTTTTAAAATGCCCTTTACAAGATGCTGCGCCCTGCAAACAACCTCTCCTAAGTTAGGTACCACAGCCTGGGGCAGGGACTGAAGTGCAGGAATGAAATACCAGACACAGAACACTCTCTCTGCAAATAAACAAGGCAAAGGAAAGCAAATCAGAGGGAGGGAGGAAAAAACCAACTCCAGCATGAAGTATGAGCACTTGCTAGGCAGGCAGCAGAAGGGTGCTACAGGCAGTGTATCTGCCGAATCAGACCAGTCACTGCACACTGCTGAGCTCAGCAGGGCTGGGAAGTTGTGTGGACACGGGAGGGAAGAACACACCAACACACCCAAAGGTGTGAGCGCTGCCAGGCTGGGGACAGCTGTGTGCTGCTGTCTTTATCTGTTATCTTTAGCATGTTTACCATGAAAAGCTTTATAATGCCCAGTGTAACCTGTGTCCTGCTGTTGCCAGAAGCCAAGCAAGTGGTCTGAGAAGGGAGTAATTACAGATCCCACAAGAAGCTACGCAGGCTCAGAAGTTCAGCCGAGCTGCAGCCAAGAGTTGCAGGCTGAGATAGAAAAAATAAAACACAGGGCTGGAAATGAAGGATGCATCCCTTTTCATAGTCCCACCTGACTTTATGGAAAGGAGTGACTCCTCTGCACCACGATGTCTGCAGAACATTATTGTTATGTTTACCCTAATATATTATTTATTACAGAATTTACAGCTCTCTCTTCTCCCCAACTGACAACCAGCCAACTACTAATTTGCAAGCTAAAATGCTGTGAGGTCTGTAGATCCCAGGGCATTTGCAAGCCATAAGGATTCTGAAATGCTTGGGAAAAGCCTGGCAATGCTGCCAGTCCTCACTAAGGTCCAAAGAATGTAAGCCACAGCCACCTAAACTAAGGAACTACCTGAGAAAAAATTACTAGAGAAGGATGTCTGCAC